AACAATAGTTTAAAAACTTAACTTTAATATTTCCTGAGTTTTGGAGCATTTTTCAATACGACCTGAATATCTGTTGATGCAGATTTTTTTTTTTAATGCGGAATTCATAATAGTATTCATTATTTTCTTCTCCATGTCTTGCTAGGCCACTATTTATATTATCTGTGGTACGTAATCTGCAGAGACCCAGCAAGTTAGGCACCTTTATTTTGCTGAAGGATAGCAGAGGGGATTCACAAAATACTTTAATGTATATTACCTAGGAAGAAACGGGCTATGTTAGATATACTTGGTATGTGAAGTGTATTTTCATTATTACACTCAAATAGTATAAAATACAATTAGTGGTCTTTGGATTTTATTGATAATGGCTAATAAGAAAAAAGATCATTATTATGTTGGATAAGACCATAAGCATTACTGTTTTGAGAATGGATTTAAAACATGCGTTCAAATTATATTTGTAGGATTTTGATTACATTATCAGAATTATGATTAGTGTTGAAATACATTTAAACTGAAGAATGATTATAGTGTTAACTAAGGGTTTGCACTGACTATTGTCACTGATTTTTAAAGTAAATATAATAGTAGATCATGACCAAAATACAAACCCTGTAATTCAGGCCAAATACTATTGATGTTTTTCATAAGCTCCTCTACAGAGGAATGGACTTTACTGAAGTAAGTAAAACAAGCAGGATTAGCCTCTTCATTGAAATGACAATATATTTATTTTACTATGGATTTTTTGATACTTGAATTTTGCTGATACTTGATTATATAAGCAGCTGATCAAAAGGTTTGCCTATCATCTGCCCAGCCACCTAGTCTGTGTCTAACTACAGTCACGATGGATAGCAATAATTCTCAGGAGTTTATAACCTGTTAATGCTATCTAGTTAACAGGTGGCCAGGAACCATAAAGTTCCGTTTTGAGCGTTATGACAGATGAAGACAAGTCAAATAAAAGAATCTGCTCTGTTAAGAAAATGAATCATTATTATTTACCACCATGATTAAAAACGGGCATGACTCATCTCGTCAAACATGATTTTGGAACAATTGTTAAAGACTGTGTGGTTCCAAATCTAGAAACTAAGGATTGCCTCAAAGACATTCCTTGGCCTTTCAATAATAAATAAAAGCAGGTGAATCAATTGTTTTTCTTTAGTTATGTATAACTGTTTAATGGACTTTAGCTGACAAGTCATTACCCATGAAAATTTTGAAGCATATTAATGACACTGATTTTTGAGTGCTTGTTAACACTAAAAAATTATCCTGGATTGAAGCAGACTATTAATTATAACAGCTATTTTTAAACAACTCTACCTGTGACCCCGCCTATTCTGGAAATGAATGTCACAGTACAAGGACATGAAACCACTTTCAGCTATTTCTGAATAACTCCATCAGTAAACAAGCCCTTTTAGCCTATCTTCTACTTTGACAGCTTGTTCAAGATACAAATTTGGTCAACAAAACCGAAGTGTTCTTTTTAAAAGTTAAAAAAGTCACAGCCAACAAACACAATGTAACTTCTAAACAATGCCCTAGTTTCATGTCTCTGTCTCTCTGCTCCTCCCACCCAAAATAAACAGATCTAGCTTGCAAGATGCTGATCAGTGATGAGAGACACTGCACATCCATCACCCATTGCCTCAGGGGGAGGTAAGAGCACATAGGGTTTTGCAAGACCGTGTTCAAACTATGGATATAAAACTCAAAAACCTAGAAGAAGGCAACGAAGTATATGATACCCTGCCAAAAGCATGCTGAAGAAACACTGAAACAGTGGTTCCCAAAAACACCCAGGTGAAGATTGTTCCCTGGAAGGGAAACAGACAAACAGTGTTTTGATAGGAATATCTTATGATCGTGTTACACAGCAGCTTATGAGAAAGTTTGAAAGTTGTTGGAAGGAATATTGTGTTGTTACTCCCACAGGAACCAGAGCTGTTATTGTGCCATTGGCGTGCTTCACTGCCATATGTGTTTTACACTTACTAACTCTCGTGGTGCCCCTCAACATTAAGTTTACACCAACTCTGAATGTTACCCAGTCAATTTATTTATATAAATTACTTTAGATAAGCCTACTCTTAATGTATTGGGAGGCTCCTTTAAGTGGTCTCACATAATATTTGTTGCTGCATTCTACAGTGCTCCCCCTCTAACATAAAATATATCATGATATCTACATCTTATACATATATCAAAATGTCTACTGTTTTCAATGACAAGTAGATTGCACCTTCTCAAATGCAGATA